CTGGGCCCCTTGTTCTGAGGGGCTCGAGGAGCGGGAAGGCAGGCCCACCACTCCTAGTTAGAGGTCACCAAGGTTGATGAAAAGAGGGGCCAACAAAGTATGAGCGGCATGGCTGCCAGGCCTCCCCTTACCAGTCCCAACTGGCGATTTCTTCCCTTGGCTCATCCTTGGGCCTCTGTCCGCTGCTGTATTCCGCAAGGCAATTAGACGGGTGCCTCCCTACCAACCATTCCCCAACGAGAGGATGGTGAGTTGACCTCAGAAGGAAACGGCTTCCTGGGCTCGACTTTCCTACCCGACCTTTGTCCACTTTTTCCTAAGTAAGACCCTTCTGGGCCAGGCCCAGGCACCTACCCGCCTCACTGCTCCCTTCTTTTTTTGTAATTTACTTATTTATATTACAGTTAATCACATATATCTTTACAGTGTAGAACATTTCTTTTTTCAGCATGATTACCATGCGTATCAGTCAAGACAAAGACATTACTACACACATCAGCAGCAGCAAATAGCTTTTCAGTTTTTGGTCAATTAAATGTACTTTTTTTTCTTTTTCTTCGCCTGTTCCCCTCTCTTCCTCCTTCCATTACCCACCCTGTATTACTCCTACCCTTACTATCTCTAGTATATATCGTTGCCCTCTCTGCTACTATACCCTCCAAACTTTCCGTGTCTGCCATAGAGCGCAGATAATCGGTATATATTGAGTAGCAACATACAGTCTGTATTTCACAAAAACATAGAACGCTTCACAGATTGCATGTCATCCTTGCACAGGGCCATGCCGACCTCTGTACCATTCCGACTTTAGTAATATGTGCTGCCGAAGCGAGCCCCGCTCCCTTCTTTGTCCCTGTCCCCGACCCGGGAGTTCTTCTAGGTGTCTGGACAGGCAGGGACCATCCGTCCCCTCTGTGTGCTCAGATGCTCACCAGAAACGGCGGTTATAGGAATCTCCTGTCAGATCTCTGCAGTTGCTGGCCTCTGAGTCTCCGGAAGCCTTAACAAGGGAATTGAAAGTTATCCAGGTATATCACCTCTGGGAAGGCTGGGTAGGGCTAGAGTCCCACCTCCCAGGCCTTCAGATAAGCCACTCTTATGGCAGGGGGGAGGCAGATAAGGCCAGAAGCCCTTCCTTCCTCCTGAACCAAGAAGTGGGTGGGAGATCCTGATGGATAGTCCAGGTGAGTTCAGGCCAGAAAATGGAGTAGAATGGGGTGCACTAGGCCATGCAATCCAATGAGTTCGAAATAGAAAATGGAATATAGGTGGGCATCAACCAAGTGCCAGTGGGCAATGGCTACGGCTGTGCCAGGGCGATGAGAAGTGGCCTGGCCGGAACCAGTGACCCAAATGCCACACTGAGGACTCAAAACAGCAGCAGCCTTCCTTCCCCCACACACTCCCAGGGTGACGCCGAGCCTCCTATCTGGACCGGACATTACCTATCCTCTCCATCCACCTATCCCCAGTGAGAGGCCTTTGGCCTTGCCTTTCAGTCCTTTCTTGGAGATAACCACCCAGGGGAGCCCAGCCTGTCTTCTGCATGAACAGTTCGGGAGATGATGGTGGGGGTGGTACTATGGCGGGAGTCCGGGTGATCGGGCCCAACACCCATGTTGGTTCTCGTCCTATGCTCATGAAGAATTAGAGACCTGAACACAGAGAAGAAAGGAAAGCGGCTTATTAAGGAGAAAAAGCTTCCAGTATAGTGGAAGGGGCCCCAGATGGGTTGTCAAAGAGGGACTGGAGGCAAAGGGTTTATATCTAGCAGTCCCAGCAACGGACTGGCTTTCTGATAAGAAAGTTGGCTTGAGAAAATGGTTACATGGGGTGGGGGTGAGGGGTGGCCAGCAGGTGGTGTGGTGGGTAAGGGTGTTGTACTCCCACATGGCTGACCATGGTTCAAGTCCTGGAACCTAGTGGCTTCTTTTCTTTCTCTCTCTCTCTCTCTTATTCTGTCCCTCTCCGGTCAAATTTAAATAAATATTAAAAAAAAAAAAAGAAGAAAATGGTTACATGGTAGTCTGAGTGACTTATTACCCTATTCTTTGTGGGATCAGCAGACCATATCAGCTTGTACTTCTGGTTAAAATACAGTTACTGAATAGAAACTGTTGCCCTTAGCTACAGTTAAGCTTTGAGTCTCAATATAGCCAGCTTTCAGCTGTGAAAACAGCCACTGTGACTCCATCTTGGGTCTTAAACTGTCTGTGTGTTTAATATCCCTATCTTCTGCAAGTAATTATAAATTCTTTAGAGATATGTAAATGGGTATAGATTGTATATGAATCAGATCATAGAGGGAAAACACAGAGACTTCACCAAAAAGAAAACCACAGTGATTTCATCTTGGGGCCCCACCCTCCCTCCCTAGAAGTGGGGTCTAACTCCTACCTCAGGACCAGTCCTACCACCATGGCTGCGTACTGTTCGCTACATGCCAGGCCGTGCTGATGCTCAGAGGCCCCAAGAGTATGGCGCTCATTCAACAGGAAGAAACTGGAGCCCAGAGAAGCAACTTGACAGGCACACAGCTTCTCAGTGACAGAGCTGGTATTTGAACTGAGATTATGGGCTCTAGCACCCGACCCTGACTATTCTTACGGACTGGTGGGAGCAACTGGGGTGCCCTCTCAGGACAGAGCCCAGTGACTGCATCTCTGTCCCCAACTCTGCATGGGCCCCCCCCTTGGGAGAGGTGGGCTGGACTTGGGCAAAGACTGGGCACTCTTCCTGACACCCACTCCAAGGATATGTGACATTGGACCAGGGCCAGAGAGGGCCCAGGCCGTGGAGGGCAGCTCCTCCCTTCCAACTGGAACTTTGTACCTGTGCTGAGGACAGCAGATGGTACTGCACAGATTATGCCAGAAGATAGGTGCCCTAGGGAGGTAAGGATCCCTGCTTTCTAGGGCTCCTCCCTCTCCTGCTGGTAAGTCCGGGAGGGTCTCCTCCGCTCTCACTCACCAGCTGGCAGAAGGAGGAAGCCTGAAGATTCCTTCCAAGGCAAAGAAGCCTGAGGAGATGCAACCCTCTCAGGGGAAGAGCCTGGCTGGGGAAGGACCTTGGGCCCAGAAGTGAGAAACGGAAGTCCTGGGAGACTCAAAGGGAAGGCCCAGGTGCCCTTTGGGACTGAGCCCCTCCCTGGCCGCAGCGCAGGTCACCCCAGCTCATGAAGTACAGAAGTGCCAAGGCCTACCAGGGGACAGCCTGGCAATGGCAGTGTTGTTCTGCCCTCTGCCTTGCTGCCCCTACGGCCATTCCTCACAGACCCCAGGCTTTCTCAGCTGGGGACGGTAAGAAGGCAAGCAGCCACCAGCACTCCTGCCCCCTACCCTGGGCCCTCCAGGAAGCAGAGCAGACACGGGGGCAACAGGAGCACATTGCCCTTTTATTTGCGCTTCTCAGAATACTGTACAAAGGGAGTAAAAATCCTATTCACACTTTGCTTAGAAAGATTTTGAGGTGAGAGTTCCCTATGATACAGGAGGTGGGGGGCCAGCAGGCAGGAAACAGGTCCCTGGGAAAGGGTACAGAGCACCACATCTTCTCAAAAGTGGTGCTGTCCCCAGGAGGTCCAGTTGGGGCGGCTCCTCTGCAGCCCGCAGGCTCCACTGGGCCTTCTCTGGCCGCTGAGGCCGCGTCTGCAGGCCGTGCCCTGCTCCAGCACTGGCCAGCTCGTGCTGCCCACGTGCCACAGGAGAAACCTGAAGAGACCTGGAGGGGAGGGGTGCGAAGGGCTCCACAGCATCATTTCGGTGGAGCCCTCATACCATAGCCAAAGGCAGGGTCATGCTGGACCTCTGCTCACGATGACTCCCACCACGTTCACCCTCATACCAGCCCAGGAGCCTCAAACCCACCACAGACCCCCACCCCTGCTCCACTGCTGCCACCATTGTGTGGATGCCCGCATGCCCAAGGAGGAGTTGGGATCTACTGCAGCTTCTGTCCTCACCAGGCCCCTCTCCGTTACACTGCAGCTAGGCAGCCCGCTGGACTCAGTACCCCTATTCCCCAGCCCTGACCAGGGAGGGCAGCAGCTCTGGCCCCTCCCTGTGGGACTAGGACATCTGCACCCCATCTGCCCTCTCTTTAGCCTTCCCACTCCCACCCAGAACCAGGGTGGGCTGCAGGGGAGCTCTCTGCCCAGAGGCCAAGGCCCACCACACGCCTGCTTCCACACAAACAAGCACATCCTGGGCGGCATCCTGAAGACCAGAGAACCAAAGTGAAACGATCCGGAAGCTGTACCGTGTCCCTCTGCCAGCTGCAGGGGTTAAAGTGCTTTGGCTGCCTGAGGCTGAACAAGTGGGCAGGGGTTCTCCCCCCATGTCAGCCTCCAGAGTCATGCCAGCCCAGGCGTCCAGCCCGCTCCATGACCACCCCATGGATTCTCTACTTAAAAGGCAAAAGGAAAAGATCAAAAACCCAGAGGGGCTCAGAGCCCGGCAGGCCCACCCCTACCCCACTACAAGCTACTCCAAGTGCTATCAGGGGAAGCGAGGGGGGAAACTGGGCCCGGAGGCTCGACCCCCATCTCTGGCTACTGTCCAGAGGCTCCTTCTGTCTTCAGCATCGCAGATCAGGCCTCCTCCCCTCCCCTGCCATCCTGGGCAGGGGAAGGGGCTACACCCTCAGTACTTATTGATTCCAAAAATCCGGACTCCGTGGAGCTGGGGCAGCTTGGGGATGAGCACGCTCATCAGGGACACAGTGTTGAGGATGAAATGGATCTGGTCATACTTGGTGTAGAAGCTGGTGAGGAAGTACCTGGGAGGCAAGGGTGGAGAGAGACAGAAGACAGTTTGGAGAGCCCTCCTCCCTCCCTCCCTGCAGGGAAAGGCAAAATCCTGAGTGAGGAGCTGTGGAAGAGGTCCCCAGACCAGAACCAGGATGGCACGATCCCTAGGCTAAAGCAGCCACTTCCAGCCCAGCCCCCTGCTTCATGCCTGGCCTGTCACTAGCAGGAAGGAAGCTCCAACTGAAGAAAGACAGGGCCAGGGAAGCCCAAGGCCCAAGCCCTGTGTGAGACCCAGGGGTATTCCAGCTTCCCTTCTTGCGTTCATCAATATGCCAGGGGCCAGGGCTGAGGAGGGGGTTAAGCCTAGTTGGGCCCAGGGTCACCCAGGCCTTGGCCTACCTACAGTGTCCTTCTCTAGCCAAGATACTCACAGCACAATGGGCGTGATGGTCAGGAACTTCCGAGAGGCCGTGAACTGGACCCCATAGTCCATCTGCTCCCAGTGGGTTAGCAACCGTGCCTTGCCCTGGTCTGGAGTCTCAAAGGGTGTCCCCTTCACTGTGTGCAGGAAGATGTACATGCCCTGGGGTGGGGGTGGGGGGACTTCATTAGAGGACACAGAAGACGAAAGGCCCTCCAGCTCAGCCCCTCTGCCCAGTCACAGAAAGACAGGGCTTCGTGAGATCTGGAGCCTCTCGTGCTGGGCAGCAGGCTACCAGCTGGTCAGGATGGAGCCCATGGGGAAGGGGCGGGCCTGGCCCGAGGAGTCAGCCACAGAACAGTATGGAGCCTGCCTGTGACACCAGGAAGATGTAGGCAGGTGAAAAGGACAAGATCCCTCCTTGCCACCAAAAAAGTACAAGGTGGCAGGTGGGAAGGTAGCAGAGAAGGGAAAAGTGGAAGATGGCTTGAGATCCTAACTTGGAAAGGGGGCACTTCTACACCGAGTTAGGCACCAGGGTCCTGGGACACTCTGAAGCCCTTAGTCCAGCTCTCAGTGGCCCATCTTTCAAGCCCTTGAGTGCTCCATCTTGGAAACGTGGACAAATCTCTGGATTTGATTATTTACTGACTTTTTATAATTTGCTATTGGGTGTGTGCATTAGCAGGAGAGAGGGAGGGAAAGTAAGAAAGCAGCCCCCCAGAGGGGGATGGCCACGCTGCAATCCCTCCTCCTCCATTTTCCTCTTGGGATTTTGGGTATGCACGCACATGTGCCAAGTGACCAGGTCCAGAGTTGGCCATGTGCGATCCAGCCACCTCAACCACCATGCCACCTGGCTGGCCCCAGATTTGATTCTTATCAGCAGGCACAGGGCTGGAATCCAGAAGGGGAAGTCATACAGAAAGAGCTGGGTCTGGGCTCTGGTGACAGATGTCATCGGCATGTCACCCTGACATGTCACCCTGTAGCCTAGGTCTGGTGGGCTCCTCCTATCCCTTGGCCCTGCCAAAGAGCAGCTTCGGGATCAGGGGCAGGGGCAGGGCTAGGGGCAGCAGGCTCTCACCATGTTGTGGATGAGGTTGGTGAGGGTCCAGACGACAGGGACGCTCACAAAGGGGATGCTCAGCAGCACAACATGGAGGAGCCCGATGGCCAGCACGTAGGACAGCCAGATGCCGCGGCTGTTCATCACCCGCGTGTTGGGGTTCACCTCGCTGTGCGCTGTGCCCACATTCATCCTGCCACCCCTCTCCACCGCTGTTCTGCAAACAAGCAGCACAGGTGAGACAGGTCACACCACTTTCCCTGCCCCCTCACACCCTCCAGTCCTGCAGGGAGGCAGGCTCTTCTTTGTTGAAAACTCCAAGCAGTTCCACTGTTTTGATTCTCAGGCATGGGAAGTAGACGTGTCATTTTCCCTGCTGGGCCCATCGGGACAGTGCCTCAACAGTGCTGGGATGACAGGTCAACAAGAGGTGTCCAGAGAGCAGAGATGTCAAATGCCCATCCCCTGATCCTACCCCTATAACACACCCTCTTCCTACAAAGCCCAGGGAGGGGAGAAGAAGCCTGCCCTCTAAGAATTCTCACTCAGCATGGCCCCTGCCAGACTGCCTCACTGAGGGCCTGATATGGAACACCGCCTACTCTTAAGTCTTCCCTATAAACAGAAGGGAGGCCTGTGGGCACAGGCGGCTGTGGACAAAATATTTTGGGATCAGTGCTTCCACACGTGTCCCCTAATTCTGCTGCATCTCCCCAAGGAGAAAACAACAAACTAGGATCAAACTTTGCCCAGATCTGGAAGGCTCCCTCCTGGTGACACAAAACAACTCACCCAGATGTTTTATCCACTTGGCAGCCAATCAGGCAAAACCTTGTGATACCACCCACTCTGCTGACAAACTGTCGGGGCCCTTTTCCTTACCAGGGAGGAGGAGAGGACTGAGGATGTGGCCAAGAACTACAGCTCCCAAGGGCAGCTCGAAGCCACATCAACACATCCTCTCCCAAGGACGCAAAACCATACTTATGGCCTCCTTCCTGCCTCCTTTCTTCTCTGCCCTGCCCATACTCACCTCAGCTCCTGTTCCTGAGGCAGGAAGAACCAGGAAGGCTGCCCTTGATGCCCAGGAAACAATAGTGGCAGCAACGCAGAGAGGGGGCAAAAGGAAATAGAGAGGGTGCGGAGAACGATTTGCCCCTTGTCCAGAGCTTGGCCGTTCCCAGATCCCTGAAGGCCCTATGCCCAGCATAATGTGGAGACAGATGACACATGCGTGCTGGCTCACCTCCCTACCTGAGGTAGGATCCTGATTGCCAAAGACCCTAAGGTCGTCACTATGGTAACAGCCCCATCTTTCCTGGAAATGCAGAAAAGAGTCCCAGGTGGAGATTTTCTGGAAGTGCCCTCGAGGCCACCTCCCTCACCCTGCTGCAGCCAGCCCCCTCAGCCTCAGATGCTATCTATCAATGGCTAGGATCCTAGCCAAGCCTGCAGAGGAGCCAGAGTCTCAGGGCCAGTTCCTTCTGTCCAGAATAATGAGAGCAAGTCTCTTTTTCCAGACAGCTCAAAACTGAGAGACCTCGGGAACCAGCAGTTAGCGTAATGGCTATGTCGCTGGACTCTCACGTAGTCGACCGTGGTTTGCATCCTGGACCCGGTGGCTTAAAACTCACGCCGGGCGCGTGTGCGTGCATGCCCAAGATCCCGAGAGGAGAATGGAGGAGAAGGGATTGCGGCGTGACCATCCCCCCTGGGGG